AGCGGTGGAGCTGCTGCTTCGGCTGCTCATTTTAGTTGCACTTGCCGGCCGTGGACATGACTGAAATATTATTAGAAACGGCGAGGCAGTGCGTCGTCGTCGTCGTCGACTTTGTGGCATCTTCCTGGGAGCCGTGGTCACATGGGCGTAGCATTTTACGCTAAGTAAGAATCCAAATAAAGCTGGGGCAGCTGGACCAGGAAGCACGTCTAAAAATGTTCGCCTCTCCGGCCGCATCTTCTTCTGCGGCTGAGGCTTCTTTCTTTCTTTCTTTGCTGCTGTCGTTGTCGTGGTTGTTCCTCCTGTTCTGTTCTATTCTGTGTTGTTCTTCTTGTCGTTGTTGTCGTCGTGGTCGTGTTTCAAGGTGCACTCAAAAAAAAAACTGACAAAATACCTTTTGAAATGCTAGATAAATCATGATTTGGTCATGCCATTAAAAAATAATAAAAATATTACGTTCTTAAATACACTTTTTCTGTTTTTAATTTAATCAGGTAGAGTAGATTGGTTTGGTTCTTTCAATTTAACATTTTATGTTCGCTCTCTTCTTGTTAGTGTTTTTTAACTTATTTGGAATAAACTTTGAAAGTTTTTCTTTCAGCTTAGTAAAATGCAAGGAGGATGGATAGTGGGTGAGTGCATCCAACTCGCCTAATGATGCAGTGCAGCCCGCTCGTTCTGGAATTGTGCATTCATTGGTCGGGCCAATTTAAATTCTAATTCCATGTAGCAAATCAGATTAGCTGCCCAGTTGGCCGACCGACCGACCACAAATGGCCCGAACAGTTAGCCAGAGCGGACCGCACTTGAGCCGCCTTTTTGGCCAGGCTTGGAGCCAGCCAGCCTTCTGGCTTTGCTCTTGGTCTTGGCCTGGCCCAAAACCGTTTTCACTCCTCCATCGCAGACGCGGCCGTAAAAAATCATTTTACGACTGTGGCAACAATATTTTTATGATTTTATAAATTTATTTCACATTTTCATTTGGAAACCAGATACACGGAGGTGGACTTGCACTTTTCCCCGGCATATCTAAGCCGTTTAAGGGGGGAAATACAATTAGAAGGCCTGAAATGAGGGCTATCTTTGGGAGTGGATTGCAAGTAGGGTATTAAATGAATCTTAGCGATTCTTTTTGCATGCTATTAGGTAGTTATTGAGCAATAAAAATCAGTCAAATTTTTTGAAAAATATTGTAATTAAGTCCATTTATGATCAATTATGTGGAGTCGTGTTTTTAGGGAGGGACTTTGCGCCGTGCAGTCTCCAGGTCCAGGATCACGACTTAAACAAAAAACAGCAACTGGGCTTTAAACTTAAAGGTACAGCGCACACCATGAATTATTCCATATTTGAAAAAATTATTTTTCCATTAAAAAATTTGAAGTTAAAAAAAAATTTCAAAAAAAACGTTTTTTTTTCGACTTTGTTTGTAAAAAAAACATGTTTTAACCAACAAATATGAAAAACGGTTATATTCATGGTGTGGAGAATTTAATTTCAAACATAACGCAAAAAACCGCATTCGATTAAAATAAAATCTCTGACCTGTACATTGCACGGCGACTTTGAAAACACGACTTTTCAGGAAAAGCGTTTAAAGTTTACTTATGTGCATGTCCGCCATATGACACACCCTCACTAAATTGCGTATAACTTTGAAAATAAGTACCGGACGGCTTTATGCTTTTAAAGGCTTATTCCCAGACATATTTAGAGTACATTAACCCAAAAAAAAATTTTCGAAAAAAAAAAAATTTCTAATTGTATTTCCCCCTTAAAGCCGTTAAGTGTCGCCAAGTTTTTGTGGCTTAGGTTTTTACTATTCGCTTTAACTGTTTTTTAAATGCATTCACGTTGCAGTTGTAAAGATTGACAAAATGCAAACTGGTTTCCGAAATGACCCAATCTCGAAAGAGCTCAATAAAAATGATTTAAATCGGGTTTAACATTATTAAAAGACTCTTTATAATGCCAAACCATCTAACCGGGGTTTCATTTCGGCTAAAAGCCACTTCATCTGCCTAATTTGTTCAATCATAAAAGAATTGTAGACAAAGGAAATTACGAGCTTATAATTTTAATAAATTACGATTCCCATCACGAGGTTTAATAAGATTCCCAAGGTTTGTCTTATTTCGAACACAATTAAATGTTGAAAGATTAAGCATATAAAAAGGAGTTTAATTAAAAGTTAACTTTAGTGAAGGGAATAATATTTTGACACCTTATTAACATTTGAGTTTATGAGACTTCAGCCAAGGATATATTATATGTTCACAAAGTGCAGGAGCTGAATGATACAAAATTAAATTAAAACTGGTCTCCCTGCTTGACAACAAGTAATAAAAATGTTAATTTAAATTCTACTCTTACGGGCTTATATAATTTTAAAGGAAGTGAATTTCTTTTCATTAAGTTTATAATCCTCCTTCAGTTAACTTATTCGAGACATCGCAAATGAATCATCATCTTGAGAGGGCTCATTCCCCCCAGATTTTTATGAATTTCGAGCTCTATCCATTTATTAGCCAAGGGTCCATCCACACACACTCCATTAAGCCCACACACCCGCTCGGGGTCACCTCTTGGCCTGCAGCCATCGATGGCTCATTAATTTCTGCGTGGCGGCCAATGAAAATAAATCGTAAATCAATAAACCGCGTAAGAAACTTTGGCCCGTGTTCCGAATCCCCACCTCCCCCATTTTTTACTGCCTTTCCTTAAGTGCATCTTTTGGGTCTCTCCTTCGCGACTGACCAATATTTCGCTCGATGCGTTTCTTGTTAAATTTAACAGTTTTCATTTTGTGATTAATTGGCCCGCTTGCATTTTATTTCTGGTGGCAGCTGCTCCTCGTCTGTCCCCCAAAAAGGCAATTTTGATTGATGCTTTTATAATTTTATGGCTCCGTCGAGGGAAACCCTTGGACTTAACTGGGATTCAACTTCTTCCGCAGCCAAAGAAGAACACTAAGGTCTAGCCACAGGTGTTCAGCCTTTGTGCAATTAAAAATTCAAATTTAATTTTAGCCTAAACGTTTCTAAACAAAGCAATGAAGCCATTCACAAACACACATGCATGCGATTTACACTTTGTCTGGCGCTGTCTGGCGCAGCGGGATATATACAATGCAACGGTGGGCGAGGGGGCGGGCTGAATCGGCTTGGGGTCGGGGTGCATCTTCTGCATATACACAGAACAAAAAATTAAACACTTTAAAGCTTGCATGATTTTAAGAAAATAGTTTTACACACCAGCAGCTAAAATTTATTATTGAAAATAACATCAAATCGTTTTAGAGTTTCGAATGGAATTGTTGACTATGATTACCTATTTTATTGATACGTAATAATATTTTATAAACATTTATGACACGTTGTTTAAATGTATTGATCCGATTTTTTAAACTTTTTAATGTGTATTGAACCCGCTCGGAGATTTATGCAGCCAGCGGATTGGAGATGGAAATGGGAATGAGCATTTCATGTTGCACTTTGTTGGCACAGTTTCTTCTTTTCGAGCGGAGACTTCCGCATTTTGTTGGCCGTTCTTGTTATTGTTTTCGGTCGGGGCAGTATCTTTACCCGATTCCGTTGCCGTTTGTTTGGCGCCCTTAACGCTGAGAATGCTGGCGCATAAATAACGTGAGAATTATGGTACAAGAGAAGCCAGTTACAGCAAACAGAAAAAGAACAGGGCATAAATATGCATGCGCGGCAATAAAGAAATTGGTAAATGTCCCGGTCGCAGGACCATTGTGGCCAACTGTGTGCCACTTTCCGCTTTTGAATCGAAGCGAATTTCGGCTTTGGCCAGCAAAAGGCCAGCGATCGCGGCAGTCAGTCGTCACTCAGTGGCCACGTCACGCGCTCGCAATTGTTTTTGGCCCGCATTGCCAATTACGACACCATCAGCAACCAGCAAGAGCAACGGCAACAGCAGCAGCAACAACAACTGCAACAACAGCAACTGCTGCAACATGAAGTGCACAGCAGCAACACCAAACATCAGCGTTTATTCGAAAACTCTCAGCCTGCCAATTTATGGATGCACCTCGCTTTTGGGCCAGTTGCCTCTTTTTTTTTGGCAACCAAAATCAAAAAACCGCTTATTATCAGCGTTTTTTATGTTTGACTGCTTGGGGCCAAAGGTCTTAGGAGCATTGGTACTTTAGGTTTTGGTTGGGTTTGGGAAGCACTCGTTTGTACAAGAAATCGGACATAAAGTTGTGGGATGTTGGGTGTGTTTTTCTGCTGTGCGGAACATAAAGTGTGTAAAGCAATAAACTTGCGGTTTAGGTGAAATTTTTCTTCTTTAATGAGCTTTCCAGTACTCCTTGAATAATGGGATTTTAAAGCTGTTTGGTAATGGGTATTTTAAACCAAACATTTCAATAATAAAACTCATATATAATCATAATCATACACCCAATAGTATATTTAAATAATGTTTAAAAAGCTTGTATAAAGCTATTGACAATTAAATACACACGAATAAAGATTTTTTTCTCATGTTGAAAATGTTTCTTAAATTGGATTACAACTAAACAAAATGTCCATGTGATATTTCTGTCGACGGTTTGACAAGCACTCCAATTGGTTTGACAGCCACTGAGCTGTCGGTTGCGTGAACTGGAGCACTTGGTTGCCAGTTTCTACCTGGTCACCTGGTTGCTGCTCCTCCAAATGCTCGAAACAAATGACATCGCTGCAAGTCATCGGTTGGGAGTGTGTCGTGTTTGTCATCGCAGATACCGAAACACGCTCATATCGCTCCAGTCCATTGGCGTTTCCAGACACTTGTGACAATTGCCCAGATCCCACTCCCAAACACAACCTGTTGGTCGGTCGGCCGCTCTGTCGTTATGACAGTAATTGGCGGCCGTCGTCTGGAAAAGTCAGTTTCACTTTTGCCGATGATGAGCCGCTGATTTGGGTCAGACACTCCGCTTTAATCCAATATTCACACCTCGCTCTGGTTTTCCTTGTACTTCTTTTCAGGCGGCACATTTGCGTGCAGCAGCGAACGGTGACGATGCCCGTGAAGCGGACGGAGGTCTACACCCGCCCCACCTGGAAGCACGTTCCCACCCCCTGTCAGCCGCCCACCTTCAACGGCCAGGTGTGCACCAAGGTTCAGGTGGTCCACGAGCAGGCCTATAGGGACGTCATCGATCACAAGACCGCCCAGCAGATGACCTACGACTGCTGCGCGGGTTGGAGCCGAGAAAATTCGAAGGCGGATGCGTGCATGAAACGTAAGCAAGAAATATATTTCTTACAAAATAAATTCAAATCCAAAGTAATTATAGAAGTTCTAAAGTCTTTACAACAGATATGAATGTAAAATTGCGTATACGCCTTGTTGAACAGATTAAAGTATTTATAACTAGAACTTCAGACTTTAGTTGTAAAATATAAAAAAAGAGAAAACAAGGTCTTTAAATTCATGATTTTAAATAATTTTAAAAATAAATAGGAACCTATTCTGAAACAGTTCTCTTATAAAATGATTACAAACAAATATTTTCAGCTATTTGCTCCACGCGCTGTCAAAATGGAGGTAATTGTACGGCTCCGAATACCTGCAGTTGTCCATCTGGTTACACAGGACGTCACTGCGAACAGGATGTGAACGAATGCCACACGGAGAAGCCCTGTGATCAGCAGTGCGTTAATACTCCGGGATCCTACTTCTGCCGCTGTCGCCAGGGATTCGTCCTGCAACCGGATCAGCAGAGCTGCAAGAAGGTGTCCTCCCACGCAGACGACGCCTTCGAGGCTCGAGATCTGGAGAACGACATCGACGACACGGATGCCGAGGTGGTCACGCGGCTCCAGAAGATCGAAAGGTCCTTGGCCAACGAGCGGATTCACACCAACGAGCTGCAAAAGTCACTTCAGGCTACTTACAGTGTGGTGGACACACTCAAGAGTCGGCTGAGCACGCTGGTAAGGATTATTCTTTTAATTTGTGGCATGCAGATATCCAATGATTTTTATTTAATACCTTTTTATATTGTTAACAACAGGAAAAACAGACTCAGGATGTCAGTCGACTGCAGACGAATCTGTACAAAACAGAATCGCGGACCAACAAGCTGGAGGGGATGCTCAATCTCCTGCTGAAGTGCCGGAACGGTCCCAATGCCAACTGCCCCTAAACAGAACTGCATTTCCCTACGCTATTATTAAATGTTAGTTAACTTAATTGACCACTCTGTTCACGTGTAGCTGCTCCTGCTTGTAAGCCATTCCCGAATGCGAGTCGAGTGTCTCCGTAGTCTCTAGAACCAGCCCTCGGATCGGGCTATTAGTACTTAAGCGAACGTGTCATAAATGTATCGAGATCTGAAGTTATAGCCATAAGCGCACCACCGCACTATGCACCGCCCAAAGTGGGTGGTGCACCGATTAATTTCTGCATGTATCTGTATATAATTTTAATGTATATGAGAAATCACTGCACAAATAAATGCATTTTCTGATTCAAAATTTATTGTGTAATTTCGCATGCTTTTTTTTTACCATATTAATTGACATACAACGATCCTAAGCTAAAGATAAAAAATTCGAAAACAACTTTCATTTTTATAAGAGCAAAAAGTACATAAAAGTAAAAAAATAATGTTAAAATTCAGTATGCTTTTTTGTATTTGCTGATTCAAAAAAGAAAAATAAAATAATGACTGAATTTTACTCCTAGGAGTCCAAACTAACGATCCAAATCGGTGTTCGGCTGTTTTAGAAAATAACATTTTTTGATGACCTTAAGTTCTTAACAGAGCTCTTAAAATGTTATCAAAGTTTTCCACCCTACGTTTGGTATAACAAATTATTACTAAATCCGTTTTTATTGGATCCTCTGGTCACACTTCTGAAGACAAAAACAACGACAAACACAATAACATCTAATGTGCAAAACAATAGAATTTTTATCAGTATAAATAATGAGGGCGCAACCTGCGTAATTGAAACCATGCCAGTTTAGTGTAATTGAGCACAATTAAACATTACAGACATTCTGGAAAACCCTCTAAGAGGTAGTGACGTCATTTGTAAAAACAAAACGAAGACTGCGCAGAAAAACAAGGGAAATCTGTTAGGCAAGGTCCGTTGAAAAAGGGGCGGGGGGAGTTATAGAAACTGATCCCCCAGATTTCACTTTTACCACAATTAAAACTGATTAAAAATCGAAGCACAGAGTTCAAAGTATTTAGTTCACAATGACTCGCGATGAGAAGTTGCCGCTTAAACAGGCGGAGGTCTCCATACAAAGGTTTCAGGATACGGCGGTAAATCGTATATTGAAACTCCACAAATAGTTCCAGAACTAATAAACCTTATTAAAAAAACAGGTTCCCCACCATCTGAGCCTTTTAAAAAACCATCGCAGCAATATAGAAAAAAGTCTGGCACTCGGCGACTGGCAAAAAATAAAAAAAGAGGAACTCAATGCTTTGAGGGTAATCAAACAGATCAAGAACCTCCTTCTGGAAATGGATGGACTGCGCGAAAAAATAGGTGAGGAGGACCTGGAACGCTTTGATGATCTAATGAAACCAGGAAGAGAAAAAGCTTTTGATGGCATGAGGGAGTTTGCAGGTGAGTTTATGGAATACTCTGGAAAGCTCTAGGTTTGTTTTAATATTTTCGAGATTTTTAGAGCTTCAACTTAAATCACCCACCTCTACCTTGAGTTCCCAGTGTGACGAGGACCAGGACAATCAACCACAGGAGGTGGACATAACAAATTTACCTGCCCACCGGCACATGCCACAACTGCAACTAAATTTTCAGCTGGAAGAACACCAGTTGGCCCAACGACAAGCCTGTCTGGATCAGATGGAGAACCTGCAAAGGGAGATCTATGATCTGCATGGGATGTTCCACGGCATGCGGCAGCTGACTGCTGAGCAATCAGTGGCGGTGGAAAAGATCGCGGACAATGCGGAGGAAGCTTTGGAAAATGTCCAGCAAGGCGAGTTGAATCTTCGCCGAGCTCTCACCTACAAAAAGGCCATGTACCCCGTGGTGGGAGCTCTCCTGGGCACCTGTGTGGGTGGACCCATCGGCCTGGTGGCCGGTATCAAAGCGGGAGGCCTGGCAGCAGTTGGTTGTGGCATCCTCGGCTTCACCGGTGGCTCTGTTCTCAAGGCCAATCCCAACGTAATGCATGGCAATATCGAGGAGGAGCAAGCGGAACCAGATAGTGAGTCCACCGAGAGACTGGAGCTCAAGGAGAAGCCGGAATGACCCGCCGGAGGAGGTGCCCGGTCCGCATCCACGGCTCTGGCCACCACGCACATCTGGTCGTCGAACACCCGGCGTTTGGAGGAGGCCACCAGTGGAGTGATCTGCAGTGTGCGCAGCTATTGTTCCGTTCAGTAGAGTTTTGACACCGATTTTAGTTTAATATTCCCCTAATTTGTGATTATTCATGTGCAGTAGATCATCTATACTTTATGTCTAGTCTAAGCGTTGGATATTTGTTGTTCACATGACACTGCAATTGTGTGTAGAATTTAAGGCTTCAAAACGCAATAATAACTCGTAGCTTTAACAACTGAGAAACGTTTTGAGTGTTTTTTTTATAATCTTGTTAGTTCTTTAATATGCAATATAAACTCCTAGCTATAACATCTTTGTAGAAAATGCCTACAAAATCTCCTAAACTAAGCGAGGACTTACAAACTAAGATAAGATACCAGATGGGTAACCCTGCCCCTGATTTACAAGGGTACGTTGACCGTGGTCCAGGCCTGTTTGAAGTTCTTCTTTTGCGAGTGCTGCTTCTTCCTTAGACGCTTGGCAGTCTTCTTCTTCTTAAACCACGCAGGATAATTTCCAAACTGATCTTTGAGTGTCTTGCTGTTGAAAACGTGCTCGACGCCGGTGTTCTCATTTTTCACAGCGACTTTTTCGCCTTTTTCTAGACTCTCCTGGTGCTCATAGATTAACTCCTGTTCTTCCTTGGATTTGGCCTCCTGTGAAAAGATTTAAAAGGGTTAGAAAGGATTTATTTTTTGAATTATTGATAAGGGGAATGTTCTGTGTAAATTATAAAATCTGTACAAAGGAATGTAACGAGATACATATAGCAAAAAACGTACCCTCTTGAGTTCCTTGGAGGTCTTAATTTCGACCACATCGCTAATATCTTTCATGATCTCATTTCCATCGGCATCCAGGAGTCCCAGGGTTTTCTTTAGACGAATTAACTCTTTAGCTTCATACCGCGCCTTTTTTATCTTGTTCATTTCATCGCGGCGTTTGCGGGAGCGGTTATTTCTGCCCATTTTGCTTTTCGGATATTAAAATATACCCGGAAAAAGCAAATATAAAAGAAATTGCGTTGAACTTGTTAAAACGTAAACACGTGCGTTCTACAATATCGATGTTCAGTCGATACTATCACCTATTATTCGATACTACTCGGTCTGCTAGGGAGTATGACACCGCTAAGTAAACAGAGTGACCGTATAACATTTCTTGCTAGTAATTCCTACAAATGAAATACACTGCACGAAATTCCGAATTTGTATATAAAAAATAATTTCATTGTTTAGTATATATATTCATTTTTATTGTGTTGTGTTCCTTTTCGTTTTAGTTTTTTTTATTTACAGATGAAAATAGAGTTCAAAAAAGGTATTGTTTAACTTTTGATTTTTATGACTTTGTGTATCGCTAGTCTAAAAACCACAAATTAAGCTTTGTGGGTTTGACTCTCCCCTGTTTAACCATTCCCCTCTTTGTTTATTTACCCAGTAGTTCTCTTTCCCTCTCTCTGCTCTCAGAATGCAATATGATTTTTGTATACAAACAAAATCAGCTGCTGAAGAGAGGAAATGAGAGGCTTGCAAAAGCGAAATAATACAATAACTAAGAGGAGGAGAGTTAAAACGACAATGGGATACCCTTCTAAAAGTTTTATTCAAGCTGAAATAAAAAGCTTGAATTGCAAGTGTTAACATGCATCCTATAAAAATAAAAGGAAAAAGGTATTTAAAATCGATATTCTTGACCCCATTTTGTATGCAATGAAGTTTTTAATAATGGAAATACTAGTTTTATAAAAAATTTAATATGCTTTTCAGAAAACAATTAACTCGACTTGTATTATTGTCAGGGTAACTTTCAATTGGAAAAGGGTATCCGAAAATCCCTCTCTGCACATGCGCAGCAGCGGAAACCGAGGCGGAGAAGCAGATTCAGGGTAAGTGTGTCGGACTCAGCTGTAGACCCACCAATACAGCAGCAGCCACACCAATACAGCCTTAAAATAGAGACACAGATACTGGCAGCCAACTTTGTTGGCCAGTTTGTAAACCTTCTGCCTTCATTCGCTCGTCAGTCGTTGCCCGCAAACGTCACGGAGATCCTGTAGCGCTGCTTTCCGCACTTCTCACCCCCTCTCAGTTCTCAAAAACGGAAGCAATAAGCACAAAAAACAATAATCATAACAATTAAAAACATTTTGAAAACTGTGTGAAAATCCTTGCTGGTGCAAAACAGTGCAGAGAATTGAAATCAGAGAAGGGGAGATTCCGCCATCGATCGATCAATAAACTCCGGGCAGCAAGTAAGTGCAGTTTTAACCCCCAAAAAAAACTTAGGCGGAAGTCCTCCAAGGAAAGGACACTCACACGAATGTGTACACATTCTCAGATATATTTCTCAAACTTTTGCTGCAAGTCGATTTACATGTACACACATCTCAAGTGCAACCAAGCGATACATACACAAAAAAAAAGTGCACATAACAAAAAAGCAGGAAAAAAATTCTGATTGCACCTTCGCATCCAAAGAGTTCACACTTTTGCGACTGTGTGAGTTTTCCTTGGTTTCGGTCAGGCCGACTGTTCCCTCTCCACACAGTTTTCCCCCTTAACGTATTCGGCTGCAAATCGGCCGAGTTTCTCGTTAGGGGATTTCCATTCTGGGCATCTAATAGCCATAAATTTGACTTGCATCACGTTTTCAGCATTTGTAGCGATCGTTATCAGAGCCGTGCCACATCTCAGATCTGTGGCATTTCCCAGCTGAGGGCACTGCAAAAAATTGAGTGCCTTCCACTATTTCAATTTGAATTTGATAGGGGGAATCGAATGGATAAAAATCATTTTAGGCACTTTAAATGATTTTGTTTTTACCTATATGGATCTATGAACGTATATTTAAGGTCTCCTATTATTTTTTAAAGGGATGTTAATTTTTAGTTCAATTTAAGTTGTATTGTCTTTAATTTCTCTAAGTGTTCAGGCTCATTTAGCTGTTGCACTTTGCCCCACGATCGAGTTTTATTTTTTGCAAACATTTTGTCTGTGTTCATGGAGTGTCATCTGGCGATGGCAAGTGCAATGAATGTTTCGCTGATTAACATCTTAATTAGCCTTGCCATTATTTCCTCATCTACAACTGAGCATTTCAATGCCCGAAAAATCATTGGCTGCTTGCCAAAACAAACGCATTTGCCAAGATGTTGAGATTTCGACAAAGACAAACCGAAATAGGGAGCCTATTGGTAGAAGCCTTTGCTACTCCACAACCATATATGCAGGCCCGAAAACCTAAAACCCAAGTGAATCATGCGGCAAATGTGCAGAACAGGTCTTGCTGTTGCCATTGTCCATTGTCCATTTTTCGAGCTGAAGAGCCGCAGAGCCGAAGAGCCGAAGGTGCTGGATCGAAACGGAGGGGCCTAAACGAAGGGGCACTATGGTCCCGGATGATAAATCAAGTCTGGCCAGTTGTTTGTCTGCGGCAACGAAAGAAAAATTGAAAAACAAAAGCCACAGACAACAACATAAACAGCGAACAGCTGATGATGCTGCACTCAGCTCGCGAACTGCGACGAGTGTGTATCTGCCAGATATAGTAAGCTGGCTGGCCCGATCGCTGCCATAATTGGCCAAAAGGGTAACCGTAGTCACTGGGAGTCCAACTTTTGCACTGACGAAAAATTGAGACTAATACTACAGCCCAAAAAACAGCAGAATACCCTGAGTAATAGATTGTTTCTTATTTGTTTTCAGTTTATCTTTAAGTAATAAGATCAATGATGAAAAAAGATTTAATCGACCCATTTTGATGATTATTTCTCACTGTATCAGTGTCAATTCCTTTGTGAGCTATTTTTGAACTAGTCGCGGCCTTTTAAGGCAGTGACCACCTTTAAGTCGCTTTTCACTCGGCAAGCTGATCTGAGTAGGGAATGAAGGCAATTAAGTCATCGTTAGACGGCATTAGCGGGTTTAATTAGAACAGAGCGGTGCTCGCCGCAGCCAACTGACGCGGCAGTTTGTCACGGCAAGAGGGTCGTCTCAGCCCATCGGAATCGAAATGGAAACCCAGCTACCAGGTAGCTGGTGGCTAATCCCAAAATGGCACGCATTGCGGACGGACTCCCTACGGGACCGATAATGCCGGACTATAATTAGAAAGTTAGTCAGGCGACTTGCCGTAACTGTAATTACGCATGTGTATCCGAAAGATACCCAAACAAAAGGCGAAACAATGTTCACTTGATGTTCTTGTCTTGGTTTTGGGTTACTGTTTGGGTTCCTGGCAGGTCCTGATTTACGGCAGCGAAGAAAGTGAAACTCGGTGTGGGAAAAACCTGTTTGCCATTTACTCAGGCTACCACAAACAAAATAAAAAAAAAAACAGAAAAAAATAAACAAAGCCAAAGACAAAGACCAGAGTCAAGTTCAAGTTTTATAGTGACGCCGAGTTATGTAAGTATTTTTCCTCCGAGGTTCTTGACTGCGCATCAAAATGTCAAAAATTATGTCATAATTGTAAAAGAAACGCAGCTGCAGTTATGCTCATAGGGGAGGAATTTCGGACGGGCAGGGCTCACGGGGTGGTGGTACCAGGTGGTAGGACGTAGGCCCAGTAACTGCACACTGCGCAGTTCCTCCCAAATCCCTTCCCCCTTCCTTTGGGGTTGCTGACGTGTTCATTTTCCACTGGCGCTGATTTGCAGCTACGGGCCTTTCATCGATTTTCGTTTTAACCGCGTATGATGGGATTTCGATGGGGTCCCTTCTAAACTAGGCACCCTCCATGCCCCAAAAATAGCAAAGGTGACCCCCAAAAATGATGCGGAACGAGAGGCTGCGAAAAAGTTTTTCGGGGCCTACATTTTCACAAACGCGGAAGTCGTTACTTTGTATATGTATATATTAACCAAGCATACATATAGACACATAATTGCAGCGAGAGAGTGAGCCACAACATTCGATAGGGCCTGCGAAGGTTGCTAGGTAATCATCGGGGAAAATGGAAATGCCCTCGACTGCGCAGGTCAAACAATTTGTTTGTAAACAAAATGCGCCTGAGAGGAGAGAGGAGAGAGAAGACCCTTTCTGCACTGAAAGTAGGGGAAAGCCAGTAACAGTTACAGTAACCAAACTATTTAAAGCCCAGCGGGGGGCGTCTGCAAGGGGAGGGGGCGGTCGATTTATATTTGCCCATAAATCTTCCTTTTAATTGGCGTCGCTCGAACCAAATTGCGGCGCTTAAATTGAGGCACTTTGAGTGCTATATTTATGCCCGACGGCTATGGAAACTTCTTCCACAATGGTGTCAAAAATTAATTTGATTATGAAGCAAGGGTGTTTAACAAGGGGTAAATAAGGAGACAAAAGGGTATGCGGAGTAAAAAAGTCAGCAATTGGAATAAGAATATAATATGCAGAACATATTCTCAGTATTTTAACCAATCCGATCCTATGATCTGTTTTAGGCTTTATTGCGAACCTTTTCATAAAATAAACTTTCTTTAAATTACAAATTAATTTATTGCCTACTTTTGGGCTCCAATTATCCTGTTTTCAATTTGGTAGTTCATTAAAATATTTATGGAATTAATAAAGTTCAGTTACCTAGTTTAAATTCTATAGTTTTTTTCAGTATTTTTATAGAGGAGGTTAAGCTCTCTTTCCCCGTGCAATCTGAATTTTACAAACGTGCTAAAAGCATGATTGTGTCATTACGACTTAAAGTTGCATTTAAGTCTAGTCACTGTTGAGTCGCCAGTTTTGCGACTGATGTAATCCAGCAGAAGGGCGCCTAAATCGATTGACTGCCGGAATATTAGATTGATTGATTGTTTACTGTAGATTGGGGCCGCAGACGGCGTTGACCCAGTATTCTATATGCGGCAGCTGGACGTAGCACTGATACTGATAAACAAAGTGATAAAAAATGTGCGTCGTGCCCAGCGGATTTGCCTAAGAAGAGACACACGGAATGAACACAACTGCGTCTCACGTACTAATTGAAATTACGCGTTATAAAACATCAATTTGTATATGTGCGAATACAAAAAAAAGCTCATCTAAATGCCATTAATATGTACAGCCAAAGTGCAGCGAGGTGCGCGAACTTGAAATTATATATAAGCGGTGACAGCGAACCTGCAATCCCACATTTATCATCGATCGTTTGATAAGCAGCCACCACACAATGAACCTCGAATTACGGAGGTATAGGTACAGTGGGACCTAACAAGTGCCTCTTTGTTCGAGTGGGATGTGTGTGTCGCTGTGACATCAAAGAATCACTTGCGTCATTTTATAGGGAGCTTTACTGGGGGTCTTTTTGGGCTTTGTAGATACGGCTAAAAAAAAATAATAATCTACGAATTAAAAAGCAGAACTCAGAATATGTGTGTTAAATTTTATTTGTCTAGTAACAATCACATGTTTGTATTTCAAACAAACAAACTCAGATAAAAACATTGACCCACTTTAAGATAGAAATACGAAACAATATGATTATTGCAAATAATTATTATCCATGGTACTGCGTACGACCATTTCAAACATTGCAAACCAACCATTATGTACCCTAAGTAACTCATGATCATATTGCTCTGCCGCATATGGTATCCATTACAATGCACCTAAAATTCCACTTGCTGCAACTGAAAAGCATTTCATATTCATGGCAGCCAGCATAGCATTTCCACAAATGTTTGCCTATCCACAATGAAAACATAAAACGAATAAAATGTTGCCTCACTCGATGTCGCATTTAGCGTCTGCCGATGCGTTGGCGTTTGTCATTTGCTTTATGCTATAGCGATTCAATGCTCTAAACTGCGCAGTATCTTGAAGCCATGCTTATAGAGGGGGTTATACAGAGTGGGGTGGGTCCGATCCAGCGGAGTTTGTGCGCAATAACCCAGAAAGAAATGCTCGGAACAGTTGAGTTCACTTGGGTTTGGCCATGGTTCACTCCACTCCCTTTGATGCTGGCCGCTTTCCTTGGAGTTTCGTGTAAACGACAGCGTTTTGTTGCAATCATTTGGAGACACAAGATGTGGCAGCTAGCATAAACATTGCCCGATTAGATAAAGCACCCGAGACCCACCATTTCTCTCTGGCTGGGTATGTTTATTTGAGTTTAGAGTGCCGCCGGGCGCAAATAGTTTTCTATTTTGTTTTCTATTTCGTTGGCGTCTTCCCGATGACGCCAATATTGTTTACCTCTACGCAAAAGTGGGGGAATTTGTTTTCTTCAGCATGTTTTTTTTTTACTTTTTTTTTTGAACATAAACAAAACGCGTGCAGA